AAGGTGCGGTGTCTTCCCTCCTAGATGCTCCTCAGATATGACATCCTCCAGGGTCGTGAAGGGCTCTGAGATCTGGCAGGGACCATCTGGGTTTTTTGACTCCTTCTGCAACAGAGAACATGAGTCATTTGTGGGGAACATCTGGGGATATTTCATTTAATCAGTTTTTTTACTGTTCTTGTGGCTTTGGATATTAGCACTGTCTGTTACTTCTGTTCTCTGGCAGAGGCACGCAGCAGTTGAGTCTCCTGAGAGTCAACTAAACCATATTATTGGCTCCCTCCAGGGGTATCTGGGTGAAATTTAATGGTCCATGAGATACAAAAAGTCAGAAGAAATGATCTAATGTCCCCTTCTAGTCTTAAACTCAGTGAAATGGTGAAAATTCTGCTTCTAAAGGAAATGGCAGATGAGCAGTTGCCAGGATCTCCAGCTGTGTCCGTGGGGAGCAGTTCCATTTTTTGCAGTCCTGTTTGCAGATTCTCAGCAGAATTGCACCATTTTCACTCCTGGAGACCAAATCCTCATTCCCATCCTTCTGTGCAGCCCGTTTGCCCTTCCTCCTCCCTCAAATGCCGAGACTGTTTAAGTCCCTCTTTGTGGTGACCATTTCTGAGAGAAACTTTTTGGTTTCCCTTCTGTTTTTACCAAAATCCAAATGAGATATCTGTTGTATCTGACATCTGCCTTTCACATAGATCAGATCAAACCTCCAGTTCCAAAATATCTCTGGCCCTCCTAAATACAGAAATCGGTCTTGTGCATCTCCTCTCTCTGTGTCTGGTTGAGAGCTGAGCTTTAGCCAAAAAGTCTCCCAGGAATTTTTATAGACTCGAAACATCTCTTTTGCTTTCCCTTTCTGCACAGCAAATGTACAATTTAAAGTTGTGGGCATGTATTTTTCTTTTTCTTGGAAGTATTTGCAAAGGTGGCCAGAGCTGCCTCTCTTCAGTTGCCAAGTAGGTGTCCTACCCTGCGTGTGCTTTCAATTAATTCCATGTTTCCTCTCTTGGATTTAAATGTTTTATATTGAATATTTCCATATGAAAAGAGAAACTTGAGATAAATTGCAGGATTAGAAATCCTAGAGTCTGGGGATTTCAAGCACGAGTGAAGCACGTGTGCTTTTTCCTCATCTGAATTCAAGGCCACACCAGCTCCACGATGACTACCTTTCTGCAGAGGGAGAGGGGAGGCCTCCTCCTGCTTGTTCTACCACATCAGTCGCTTTTTAACTAACTTACAAAGCTATTTTGATATTTACTGTAAGTTAGAAGTGTTTTTAGAGCAGTCTGAGGAGCTCTCACCTCACCTGGCTGCAACAGGCACCGCGGAGTTGTGTCCAAAGAGCAGATGATTGTCACTGGGTTGTCTTTCCAGTGTCACCAGGTGACTATCAAGTTAATGCCTCTGCTTTTACCTTATTGTATTCATGGAATGGCACTAGGAGGCCTCAGTGAGAGATCCTGTGCCTGGAGAAGGAGGGATATGGGATGTCCATGGTGCTTGGTGCAGCACACACTGGGAATGTCCCAGCCAGAAGTCCCAACCTCATCAATTATACCAGACGGATCAGGGTGAATACAGTAATAGTTGCCATGGTTATCAATCATTATGTACTGTATTTTCTGAGGGCTTGTTTAGAGGAAAACTTTTCTGTAATTAATTACAGATAACAGCATAGTTACAGTCCAGAATAGATGTTCTCTGTCCTTCTTTCCCTTTGTGCAGCCCAGAGGCCAAGAATAGCACATGCAAACTATCACAAATATCTGCGTTTACATTGAAGTGAACACTTTTTGCTCACGCTCACATCCGTGGATGTGCAGACATTTATGCTGTTGCATTTCAGCCAGTTTCCCGCCTGCAGGAATGAACTTCAGAGGCTGAACTGTCCAAATTCAACTGCTAACCCTCATCACCAGATTGACTGCAACTCTCTTCTGTAGGAAAAGCCAGTCTGTGGCCATCCAGCTGTTAACAGGGAGTTGGCACGAGGCTTGCAAAGTGTGATGTTATCACCAGCCAATTGAGCAGAAGAGCTCAACTTCTTGAACCTTCCATTCCAGCATGATCTTTATCCCTTTTATGTTTCTTAATCTTTTTAGAAAAGCATCAGTCAGAGGCTAGTGACTGCTGAGAAACTGATAAGCTTCCTCCCCACTACAAAAACAAAAAGAGTTTAAAATATTTTCTTCCTCTAGTTAAGGTATACAATTCTTAATAGTATGTTATTAGGAAGTTGCAGAGCAATCAAATGAGAACACAACTGTTAATAAATTTGCTTAATAAAATAATTAAAGCGAATATAAAGAAATTCCAGCTATCTCTTAGTGTATTAAAAGGCAAGTAACTTCTTTTTAGTTTTGCTGGGTAAATTCATTTGGAACGTCTGTAATTTAAAATAATCCTGAGATTTAAATAATTTTGCGGCCACCGCTTTTACATTATGCCAAGTTCAGTCCCAGAAAGGTGGCTGCAGTTCTCACTATTTTCATTTTTCCAGATTAATTGACACAACAGTTTCTTTGTTGTTCTTTGGATGATAACCCTCAGCAAGTCTTTTATTTTTCCAAATTACCTGCCTTGTCCATGGCTCCTCTTAGTCTGAAAGCACAAAGCGAGCTAGGGTTTTTTCCAAACTTGCTAATGATAAAGACTGTTCATTCTCCCAGTTGTCTTTGGTGCAATCTGTTTCAAACGCTGGGATTGATGACTGTCTCAGAACAGTGTAGGAGGGCTGCCTGAGCGTGACTGAGCCACAGAGTTAAAAAAAAAAAAATCTAAAAAATAATAGGTTCATTTCAAATAGAAAATAAAATTCAAGGAAGCTATGGTTGTCTAAAACAAAGCAAAAGAAGCCAGCTAAGTTTATTGTCTGGATTATTAATTGTCCTGGTGCCCTGAGAATGTCACTTTAATCATTTGGTGAGTCTAAAGCCTGGGTCTCCAGAGATCATGTTCTGATCTCTCACATATGGTATATCGCACTGTTCATTAGACCCACTGGTCCAGTCACATGGAAATGATGTTCAGACTATTTCTATCTGTGTCTGCCACTTTTCTTCCTGAATGTGTCAGTCTCATGATGAGGGCAGTGACTCCAGCTGATACAGACGCAATTGCTGATTGCAAAGAGAGACACCGCCGTGAAAATAAAGACAAGAGGGTTTTATTTCCATCACAGTTCGGGTTTTGCAAGAGGTCCCTGCCCCGCAGAAATACAAATTCCCTTAAGGGAGGAGGGCGCTGAGGTATGTGAGATCGCAGACACTGAGTGGCAAAAAGAGGATGGGTGACCTTAGGGACAAACTGCTGGGCTGGGATGCCCAAAACCTGGGCTCAACTCCAGGAGGAAGGAAAAATTCTCACCAGTGTCATGAGAGTCAGTTCTCAGCCCTTGACACTTTGTGCCATTTCAGAAATCCAGCTGCTTCTTTTTGGTGGTGAGATGGGAGTGGGGACTTGCTTTGCACAGTGGGAGGCAGGATTTCTTGCTCTTCCCTCTGAATATTTGATGCTGGCAGTGGAGAAGTGAGGAACAAGGTAATCTTATCCAGGATGGCTGTAAGCCAGTCGGGGACTACTTCTGGTCCTCGCTGGAGGGACGAAGCCCAGCTAAGGATGAAGCAAGCTCATGTTTAGGAGCCTGTCTCCAGCCACATGTGCAGAAGGTTCGGTGCTGGCAGCTACCAGCAGAAACCAGGTCAAGGGATTCCCAAGCAGTGCAGAATGCTTGCCAGGGGACCCCAAAATGTCACATCCAACTTCTCACCCTGAACTCTGTTGCGGGGGGGGGAGGGATGGCTGGCGAGTGATGTGTAACGTGTGGAGTCGGTATAAATGTCACAGCTAAAGGTCTTTAGAGTCAGAGTGACAACGGGAGGAGACACTAGTGCCAGGAGTTCTGACACAGGGAAAACACTGTCACTGCCACCACCTCCGTCTTGGAGATTTATTGATGATAACTTGGGATGTGCCATAAACAGGGGTGATATTAAATGAGCCTGACTGTCTCAGGGGCTAAGTTTTACAACCCAAAGTCTGAACTCTCTCTGCCTCACTGAGATCCTGAGGCATTTTTCCAGCAGCTCCCATGATCTCATTAAGTGCTCTCCCGGTAAGGGCTCTCCAGCCCAAGAGAGCCCTCCCTGCACAGCACAGTGCCAGCTGCTGGGATCAGACACAAATATCTGCCAGCCAACCCAGCATGCACCCTCAGAGCTTAGTCATGGAGACCTCCCAGGCCACCACCACTACCTCACTGGGCCCACAGCCTTCTCCACCATGGCTTTGTGAGGAAATCAGAAGCTGCCACGCAGGTGTCCCCAAACACTAACGCACCCCCGGTGTCAGAGGCTCCGTGCCAGCAGCTCGTGCCTGGGGACAAACTTCCCTGTAGCTGTGCTATGAGTGTATTGAACCTAGATGAACCTTTGCTCAGATGCCCTCTCAGCGTGGTCTCAGCTTCTGAGGTCAAACCCATGGTTTCCTCCTGGAGTCATTGGCCGCAAAGGGCTGTGCTATCATGCAAATGCTTTCCTTCTGCTCCTTGAATGCATCTGGGACTGCAATAGCAAGCTCTAGCTGCAGCCTTTCTCCCCCATAGTAAAACAGCTCTAGGGGCCAGACAGCTGCCATCTGAAAGAGGCAGGGCTTGATGAGCCACTGTGCTTTTCTGCTGGGGCGTTCCCTTGTTCAGATAACACATTTTATCCCAGAAGCAGCAAAAACTTCAGCAGAGCCCTGAGGATACTGAATTCAGTCTCCTGTGCCCCTTCTGCCTATCAGAGGTAGGTCTGTGGAGATCAAGGGCAGAGCACCCCATGGCCACAAGCCCTGTTCTTCACGGGTTACATTCACCAACCCACAGGCCTCAAGGAATGTTATCTAGTCCAGAAAGCCTACAGCTTATCTCAGGGAAAATGTTTATTTTGGTGACTTCCCTGAGAAACCTCCTTGTCCTTCTGCCCTCACGGCCTTTCTCTCTGCTCCTCCAGTCTGCTCACAGTTCTCCAAGGGCGTCTACGCCATCTTTGGATTTTATGAGAGGAGAACCGTTAACATGCTCACGTCTTTCTGTGGGGCTCTCCACGTCTGCTTCATAACGCCAAGCTTCCCTGTTGAAACGTCCAACCAGTTTGTTCTCCAGCTTCGCCCAGAGCTCCAGGATGCCCTCATCAGTGTCATCGAGCACTACAGCTGGCAGAAGTTTGTGTACATTTATGATGCTGACCGGGGTAAGTCACAAGTACATGGGAAGGGTTACCAGGCAATTAAACATAGAGTTCTTTGCCTCAAGAAGTCTTCTTACTGTGGGTTGCTGGAGGCTGAGAGGATGGCTAAAGGAAGGGTCACCCTATGCCTTCCATGTCCCCTATTCCTTTTCTAAATATTCATTACTGCTGAAGGTGGGCATTAATCTAGATGAAGCGTTAGCCTGATCCAGTACGTCTGTGTTCATAGTATCAGGTCTGAACCCCATCAACACGAGGGAAATATTTGATGTGTAAGCGGTTTGAGTTTCAAATGGGGAAATTGTTTATATTGAATCGGTCCCATATTGATAGACCTGTCAAACTCAAAGCCACCGAGTCCCACATTTATAAATGTGAACTGACAGCTGCTCAGGTCTCAGCTGAGCCCACACCCGGTTGTGATACCTGTCTGTGTTTCTGGCAGGTAGCTTGGAAAACTCCAAGTTCCCTGTGTTGGTGAAAGTTAATTGTCTATGTAAAATAACAGAAACCTTTATTGGGTTCTTAGAAGATACTATCTAACTTTCTAAATCATGAACAGGGCTAGTGAGCTCATTGCTCTGTGATTCAGTTTCCCCAGCTCTCAGATGCCTTTAAAGCTCCAGACTTGGAGGCCGAGAGCAAAATGGACTTGTGGAGGACAGCGCAGAAGTAATGGTGATTCACAGCTCTGTCCTGGAAGTTATCATTAGCCCTTGCAGGGACAGGATGACCTTAAGAGACAAGGAGAAGGTGTAAAAGCATCCCACCCTACTTTCTGTTGTCACGAGGCATGGGCACGCTGAATATCCCAAAAGGACTGCAGTAGACAGGGTTGTCTAGCAGAACTCCAGAGCAGTGCTGACTATGTGTATCTCCTCTGGAAGGCTGTGCATGCAATTTAGGCAAGATCCTTTTAAAAATAATGAAGTTTTCTGATGAGATGCTGCCGAGAGAGACAGGGACACTGAATATGATTGTGTATTGTGATTGCTGAGAGTGTCCCTAACCCTGGGAGCATAGAGCCTCAACAGATCAAAGATGAGAAGGGAACTATGGCCCAAAGAAATCAAGTGAGCTGGGTAGTGACAGACAAGAAGATGGGGATTAGAGCTCTTATCTGAATCCCACAGCAGGGCCTGATCAACGAGACTGATCTGCTGATTACAAAGGAAAACTAGGCCTGGAATCATTCTATTTTCCAGTGCTAGGACAGAAAAAGCAGGAGTCATTAATTCTAGCCCAGCTGTGTTTGGGTAAGATGCTAGACTATTAGCTGCTCTCTGGAGTTCTGCTGCACTCTTGCAATGCTGTATCCAGCCTGGCTTGAGGCAGCTACGCAGGCTGTCAGAAGGATGGGAAGATGCCATTGCACACCTAAAACCTGGTTGGCCCCTTACTGTCCTCTTCCCCCTCTACTCCCATCACAGGTTTGTCAGTCCTACAGAAAGTGCTGGACACCGCAGCCGAGAAGAACTGGCAGGTGACTGCTGTCAACATCCTCACTACAACAGAAGAGGGCTACCGCGTGCTCTTCCAGGAGCTGGAGAAGAAGAAGGAAAGGCTGGTGGTGGTGGACTGTGAATCTGAGAGGCTGAACATCATTCTTAGCAAGGTTGTGTTGGTGCGGGTCTTCTGGGAGGGGTCTTGCATGCAGGACAGGAAAGGTTGTTTCTCCTGGAGAAGTTCTCCCCATTCTTGTCTGATCCATGTCTCATTGTAGCTCTCATTGGATGTGGCATGTGTGTATGGCAGCAGGCTGCTGAGCTTGCAGGTATTTCTCCGTTGTGTTATTGTGGAAACTGTGAAGCCATATAAATACTAGGAGCTCCCATATATTCACGCTGAGTGAGCTCTGCTGCTCCACGTTCCCTACTTGTTTGACTCCTCTGCTGAGCCCTTTACACCCCCTTACTCTCCGACAAGTTTACTTTGTGCTAATTCTTCCAAGCAGCGTGCACAAGACGTGGCACTTCCTTATTCTGCTGAGTTTTTATCTGGTTTTCCCACCTCCTGTGAGTTAGGGTGGAGGTGTGAATCGGCACTGCCAGACTCCCGGTCCTCCAGCCTCCATGTGCTGCACCAAATTCTCACAACCACTGCCAGCAGGACAGAGATGGAGAAGCTTTATGGTACATCCGTAGTGTCCTCAGGAGCACTGTCTCCAGATCAGGCTGGAGCTCAGCATCCTCCCAGGGCATCCAGGCTGTAGCAGGATCAGATGTTTCAAGCTCCTCTTGTGCCTTACAGTGAGAGACTGGTTCATTCCTAGCCATATCCTGGCTGTTTTGTCAGCTCATGGCCACAAGGCAGATGGGATATGCAATAGAGGACTCAGCAGCTACGTTGTGTGCCCTGCCTTACTCATCCTCAATCTAGATAGGTCGCCCACTAGTGCAGACCCAAATTTTCCCCATCCTCTTTCCTCCATGCCTCCCTCAATGCTTTCCCTAAGTCCTGAATATGGACTTCTGTGGACAGGAGACCAATGCAAACCCATGGACAGGTCTCAGTCCATGCTTGTGTCCCCTCTTCAACTCCAGCCTTAATACCTTTCCCCTTCACACCTACAGCCAAGGCTTTCCCCACAGCTGGGACTCCTGTCCCATATGGCTTAGAAAGAGCCGCGCAGTCAGTGCAGTGACTCCCGCTATTGTACTTCTCATAACCAGCTCACTCTTACCTCGTGCTTCACACCTCGTGCTTACCTTAGCTTCGTCTAAGCTACCTGACATCTCCCGTCTCACACTTCAGCTGCTCACTGTCTGAGGCAAGGACTGCCATTTCACCAGCTGCATGGCTTAGCGATGAGCACAATCCATCCTTGTTGGGTGCTACTCCATTACATATAACAACGAAGCAGGTAGCAGGTTTTAATCTCAAAGTAAAGATCATGCCCATGAAGGAGAGACCAGATTATTCTGAAGGGTAAAGTCTTCTCTCTGACCACAGAGTAGCTGCAGTTGAACAAAATTTTTGACAGGACCTAGGCAGTGAATTTGCCTTTTCCACAAGCTTTCCTATAACGTATATCAGATTTCTAAGGTTAATGATATTGTTTTTTTAAGCCTGGTTTGTCTAACAGAAGGTCAAGTTTTGTAGTCAAATATTATCTCGTTTTCCTAATATGAACAGGAAAATAAGCTTTCTTTCAAACTTCTTCACACAACTGGAGCAAGAGTTAAACTTAGATGTAAGTAAAGCTATTTGCAAGAACACTAAAAAAACCCAGATCTTGTGATTATATTTGTTTTGCAATGCTGTAAAAAAGATCCATTAAAGACAGAGCAACTCCAACAGATGTCTGTGCCTAGGAGGTAATGCTCCCGTTAGGGACAGGGCTGTAGATAACTTTTTTCAGACCTGTATAGTCCATTTTTATCCTCATTTGACTTCTTGTTCTGAGTCCACGGGGATTTCTGAGAGCAGAGGTAGTTATCCCAGGGTAAGCAGGGGATGCCAGGTCTTTCACAACATGCAGATGACCGGAGGGGGTCAAAGATAGTGTTCAGCTCATTATCATGTGAAATTCAGCTGGGACTTAAACTCGGGCTGGCAGCCAGCTCACCGCACCAGCAGGCTCTGCGTGGATGTCACTGCTCTGTTTGCCCTGCCTCTTTGAGTGTCTGAGGTGTTCAAAGAGCTGTCTCAGCCTCTCAGGCTGCATTTATCTTCTTCACTGACAAGCCTGTCTGTCTTTCCATGGCTGTGAGTTTGTGCTCCCTGGTGGACAGAGGAGCTGGGGATGGCTGTTTAGCATCAGTCCCTCACACGAACACACTGGTGCTTGCACACACTTTTAATTTCTTCTTCCCACCCTGTATACATAACACCAATAACCACCGCTGACTCCAGCAAGGCAGTCCTCGCGTTCTGAGACCGTAGCTGTAGAGGAGCCAGTGCTCAATGTGTTAATGATACGTGGGAAAATGACCTGGTTTCTTTCTTGGAGATTTCTCTGTATCATGTCTCGAGGGCATGATTTATCTTTGCCGAAGTAACTGTCGTTTATGAGCCAGGCCCTGGTTCAGGGCAGGATATCTGTGGGGCCGCACTGTGTAGCCTTAACGGGATAAGTAAGTGGTAGGTTGTATTCCATCAAAGCCCTGTGTTGTTTCTTCCTTGTCCCTCATTAAAATGAATAACTGGAATTTCTCCTTTGCCACTGTTTCACTCTGAGAGGATTTCTCTCTAATAGATGTCAAACTGGCCCATTAAGAAGTGGGTAATGAAACCTAGGTGGCCCAAGTGAGCTATCAGCATGCAGCCTAGCACAGCCTCTCACCACGTTCAGGCTAAGTGATAAATGCTATTATAACCTCAGCTTGCTACCGCCGTGCGGACACATTAGGACTGAGCAAGCATTCTAAAATAAATTAAGATCACAAATAACTGTGTAAAACACAGGAAGCAAGCCTCATAATTCAGGTGGATGGGCTGCAAGATTAACAGCTCAGGGAAAGCTGGATGGCAGCCCTCTCCGGTTCATCGACTCTGACACCTAATAAAATAACAAAGGGAGAGTTTGGGCAGAAGGAGCCAGCACTAGCTATTGTTGACACTGGAGAAATGGGGAATTGGATCGTAATTCTCAGACATCCCAGTGCCCCGGAGATGCTCCTTCCTCCCACAAGGTCTGGGACTTACTGTAAAGGTCGGTCTCTGTTGATGAATGGAAGGGGACAAGTTGGGTCTGGTTTTGCTTCTCAGATCTGGCTATGGAAGATACTCAGAAAAATACCCATAATAAGAGTATATATCTTTATAGCCTTAGGTATACAGAGTTTTTTCTGAGGGCTCCAGACTGCTCAGCAGAAGCTATACTGAGGGATCGTGTGAGGAGAACCACAGGGCAGTGAAGCTGGTGGAGCTGACATTAGTTGTGTAAGAAACTGCTACTAAATGAAGCCGGCATTGGAGTTAATTGCCGCCCCCACATTAATGTTAGGAACCAGATGAGTTTAATGTGCATACAAGAGCACTTCATCAGAGAAAGGCTAAGGCAGATGAACCAGTTGCACAGACCAAGAGTCAGCTCATTTATAATCCATTTGGCAATCCCTAAATAGCTGCTCATGGTAATCCGGGAGTGCTGTCCCATGGAGAGGATCAGTCTGGGTGTGCCCTCGTCTGATGTTTCTCAAGCACCTGCTACAGCTTGGTATCAGAACGAAGTCCTGGGTAGACCGACCTCTGGTCGAATCCAACACAACAGTCATTTTATTATCATTCTGGCTGTGAGGATGTTTCTGGCCTCGCTACTGTCCGTGCAGATTTTGCCTGAGCGTTAGCAATGCAGGCAGTAATTCAGAAACAATTCATACAACAATGGAAGTAAGAGGTAGTGTTGCCCACAAAGAAACCTTATGGAAACAGCACAATTCTCTCAGAAACTGGCAATTCTTGTGTTTTTACAGATTCTGAGGGCATGCTGGTTTGGGCTTTTTTTTCACTGTCTTCTTTCTGCATGTGGATGGGCTCAAATGCAGATGGTATCAGTGGAGAGGAATTTTGGTGGAAATCCAGAGTCAGCAAGAATAATGTGATTTTTAGCTGTATTCTTTCTGTATTTTTTTAAATCAAGGAAGAAAAAGACAGCTAGGGATCTGATCAATGACCCTGTCCCCCATAATCACAGGCAACCCTGCAACAGATGGTGCCTTTCTACCTAGACAAGGGAAACTTTTCCAGCTAGCATAGAAACTTTCAAATGTTACAGACCCATAAGCAATTGTGTTGATAAAAGAGAATAAAAACCTAACTCTACAGGCATCAGGGAGAAAGGAGTAAGTGGCAAAGAGCATATATTGGGACACCATGAGTATGAAGATATAAATAATCTCAATGAACTTGCAAGGGGAATCCTCTGTTGAGTGACTTGCCCAGGCAGCTTTGTTCTGGAGATGTGGCTTGAAGCTATCCCAATGCACTACAGGAAAAAAATTGCCCTATATTCTAAACCTCCTGACATCTCACCCAGGTAGGTGTCTGCGGCAGGGACTCTAGATGGGAGGATGTGCAGAATAGCTCTTTAGTCTTGCTCAGTGTTTCAGCCGCATTTACAGGACAAATGGATCCCAGCTCCCCGCTTTGTTCCTTTAATGTCTGAAATATAAATCTTGTTTAACCTTTTTTTAGAAAACGCACTGTGTTTTTATCCCTGAGCCCACAGGAAACAGGTTGGTTCAGGTAGTTTATTCTCCCTGCCTGTGGAATCTGCACGGGGATCTTGTCCTGTCTAATTTCAGACTTGCTGCTCAAATATCATGTGTGAAAGCTCTGTCCTTCCTCTAACAAGATTGTGAACTTTTCTTTTGCTTTGTCTTCCTGTCTTCAGCCAAACAGTCTCATCGGGGAAAAATAGGGAGGAAGGGTAGATAAATGAAGCTCTACTTCCTTAGCTGGTCTCTGCTAAATATCCTTGGTTTTCATCTTCCAGATCATCAAGCTTGAAAAAAATGGGAACGGGTACCACTACATTCTGGCAAATTTGGTGAGTTTCCCTCCTTGGCATTTTTTTTCAGTATCTCATATTTTGCAAAGCACTATACTTACAGTTATTGAGCTGGAAATCTTTTTTCTAATCCAGCTTTTGGGTAGAAAAAAATAGCAAAGTCCTTTGCAGCGTTCTCACTTGTGGTGTTTTCTGTCTTGAGCCAGCAAGATTATCTCCAGGGTATCTCCAAGGTTGCTGGATTTTTTTTTTTTTTTTTTTTTTTCCCCCTCCAGATTCAATCTGCATCTTTTCAAAGCCAGTTAAGCCAACTGTCAACTAATGCTTGTTGTGATAATGATCTTTTTTTGCATGTCATGGGCACCTGGGGTCCTGGTTTTGCCCTCCCAGCTTGTTTCACTCAGGCCACCAAGAAGTTGTTGACTATTGGTAACATCTGGCATTTTCTAACTAGTTTTAACTCCACTTCAGTGTGTGTCCCCCAAGTGAAGTGTTTCACAGCCATCCTCAGAGTCCCACTAATGTTAATGACGATGCACCAAGATCCCTCTGACCTTCCAGTAAAAATAAAATATGTACCTATTCTGCAACTTGGTGCCAAATCAAATCTGACTGTCATGACTCTGAGGAATGAATTGGATTTAAAGATTTCTCTAAGGAAAGGATTCTCCCTTTAAGGCAGGGAGGTGCTGCCTGAGGACAGAGCTGTGCTGGGCAGCAGAAGGGCTATCCTTCTGAAGCAATATGTTGTCCTGTCCTAGGAGACTGGAGAATTTCTCTGCCTAGGGAGGTTTGGGAAGAGGTAAGAGAGAGGAATAGCCTCAATCCATAGGGAGCTGGAGGTTTTCCACAGTAGAGCTCCTAGCCTCTCCTCCCCAGATGTGTCCGTCCATCGGGGGCGATGCACAGCAGAGGACGGGCTGGTGTCAGCAGCCTGGGGCTCCCCCAGGACCCGCCATGTCCAAGCGGGGTCTGGAGCCGTTCTTCCCTCCCGCAGCTGCGTCTGCGAGGCAGCACGTCAGGCCCAGGGTAATTAAACTTTAAACTACCAATTAGTCAAGCATTTGCTGCGGTTCTCCTTCTCTCAGTCCCAAGATAACTCTGTAATTTACAAGACAAAAATGGCCACATAATTACCCCACGATGGCCTGACACTGACCCTGCGCTTCTGCTGGGTGCCTACCATGTAATTACAAAGTTAAAAATGTTACGTTGTGCAGGGGGAGACACGCAAACTGTAGAGCAGCCAATAACTTCGGTTTATAATTTTTAAAAAAATATTATTTGCTGTAACCCAGGTCCCAATCCTCAGATGTTTTTGAAAGTCCCTTCATTAAAGTTAAGCAGGGAAGCTATTTGGAGTAGCTGGAGTGTGCGTGTCTGTGCACTTTTATGTATACGCATGTGGAAGGCTAAATGAGAATGCTATCACTACTTCTCCCTGCACGGTTTCATAAGGATAAATACATTACAGGCATGAGGTGGTCTAATACTCGGGTGTTGAAGTTATGAAGAACATTTCCCTCTGTCTTATGATGCTACTCTCTCCCACCTTCAACCTCAGAAAGCACATTTTTCCCATCTTTAATTTGTTTTCTTAGCCTTTGCACAAATGCTGAGAGGACAGAGCTGGCTGGAAAAGGCTGCATACTCAGCCAACATGGATTATAAATAATTAACTCAGAGCAAAAGGCTTTTCATTTCCCCAGCCCCTCCGCGGGGAGATTCTGCCTCCCAGGCATGGCTCAGAGGGGGCTGCTTTGGGTCCCCGGGACCCACAGGATCTGATGGGACTCCAGAAACCACTGTTACTAGCTGTGCTTTTCAAGCAGCTTTGATTTGGGAGGAGAAGAAGAGCGAAAGGATTTCGGGTTCTTTCCTTTGATCTTTCCTGCTCCTTAAAACCCAGCATTGCAAAAGAGTCAAACTCCAGAGACAAGAAAAAAAAAAAAAAAAAAAAAGAGGAGGGGATAGTCAGACAACATGGGAAAACTATTTAAAAAAAAAGACTAAGGTTAAGAAGGCCCTTCCCAGGGCAGAACAAGCTTTGTGGTTCTGCCATGCACATGGGCAGGTTCAGGCAGCAGAAGCCAAATCAGTTTCTGTGACGTGCTGCACCCACACGGGAGCTACTCGCTGATCAGTTCTGCAAGGAGAACGGCAAAAAGGCCATGAAGATCCCATGTTCCTGAGACCGTTATTACAGTGAGGCAGGACAGGAAGCCTCCCTCTGCGGGGATGGCCAGGGATGTTATAAGGGATTGGCAGAATGTGGGAAGTTGGCATCTGCCAGGGTTAAACCATAGTGTGGATGCTCTGATCCAAGAGATCACAGCAGGTTTTACCCTCTTCTAAGGACATCTCATTGCTGGATTAGAGCCTTCAGAGGGTGTAACATGCTATAATTTATTCCCACTGACTCATACACATAGTGGATAGACCTTAAACACCCCACATTTTCCCGAGTAGACAAGTCCTAAGATGACAGGGCGTGCATTGCCCACACACACACGTACCCTCATGTGCACACCCGCACGCCTAGAAAACAGCCCGATTTTGTGGAAGTGGCTCATTCTGGAGTACTGGGTCATAAGAGAATAAATTAAGAACTAAAAATGGCAAGTGCCTGAACATTTCCAAATGAGTTATTTTTTGTCCCCTGTGCTGACTGATGGAGTCCTGATTTTAGGACTCTCATCCTATATGAAGATAAGGCTCCCAGCCCCGGCTGGGACAGGCTCTGCCTTGCACAAGTCAAGTGAGCCCTCAGCTGGTTCGTAGCCACCAACATACCTGCGCTAGCTGGAGCAAGGGGAGGAATTTTTAATACCTGCCTTTTGCAACACTGCCTGACCTTCTTGGGTGCTTTCTCATGGGGAAATAATTATGGAAATGACACATTGGAAGCGAACGTTGGGAAATATTTATGGATAACCTCACTCAAATTCTTATTTTTGGCTATATGCTTGTTCAGAGAGCTATACTCAGCCAGAAAAACAAGCAGCAGCACACTACTGCCCAGTTACAGCAGCTCCAAACTGGGGTTACATCCGGAACGCAAAGCAAGTGAGTTTGCAAGGCAATGCGCAGGCTGAATAAGGCCTGCAAAAATCATCCATTTTGAACATGGAGGAATTCCCTGTCTGGTCACAGACAGTTCCTGAACAAAGAGGAGAACTGGCTTGCATTAATCACCACTTGTTTGCCCAGCGGTTGCTGCCGGGTGAGCTGTAGTAAAGCACCAACCAGAATTTGACAAGTAGCAGCAAATGAAAGCTAGTATTTCCTAGCAAGAACAGCTTTCTTTTTCAGTGAAATTGCTGTTGCCAAGGTGAGACAATAATATTTCTGTGTTCACAAACAAAATGAAACCGTTCTGCACCTTAGGCCGTGGGCAAACACCCTTCTCCGAATCTGCTATGCCTGTTAAAGACACAACCTGTCTTGTCTCCTCAGCCCTGCCCATCCCACAAAGGTCTGTCTCCAACATCACTGCCAGGGGTAGGGCTCGTGTGAGCATCCCTGCCTCTCCTTGAGGCAAATTTGGCACTGTCTATGGCGTTTGCAAACTCATGAAAACCTGGCCCTCGACCAGTACCCATTAGAGTTACCCCCATTATCTTTTACCAGCTGCCAGCCTGGATATTTGTCAGGTGTACCAGCACTGCGGGGGTTGCAATAATCTCTCTCCCTCTCTCTCTCTCTTTCTGTATCTCTATTTTTCTTTTTGGAACTCAAATTGGTTTGGCAACTTTAAGAAGTGTTTGGTTTTGTGAGTCTTATTTTTCTAAGCTTTGTTCTCAGCCTTTGATTCAGTGTAACAACCACAAAGAAAAGAAATACAGTCAATACCATCAGAGGAGCAAGCTTAGAAACTTCTGGGATTCCTTTCTTTTGATATTACAGACTTTTTCCCCATAACCTTGGCTTCGTGTATCTGTTTGCCCTATGCCAGGGATGTAGGCTGGCTGCCGTCAGTAGTGAGAGAACATGAGCTCTCTTGGGCAGAGGAAAATCTTTGTCTTAAAATAAGTGACATTCGTGTGACCTGTTTTTAAAAGAAAAGTTTGAAGGACAGCTGCCACATACAGTGTTTTAGTCTTTTTTTCTTTCCTGGTGCATGAGTCCAGGTCGTTCTTTTAGCAAATGCTCTCATTTGAAGTTGAATAGATGAGTGTATGAGATTGCTGATGCTAGGGGTAGCAGGGAAGAGTAAAGATAAAAACGGAGTTGATTAGCAGAGGTAAGCATTTTTTCCTCTGCCATTTTACATCAGCATGTGTCAGTGCTGCGTTAGACCACAGACAGTTTCACTTTGCAAGCAGTCGTGGTGGCTTTGCAGGTTACCAGCACAGCAGCTTTGCCAGCAGAGTGGCTTGTGCAGGAGTCAGGCAAAATCTAGTAGTTTGATCCAGTTCACCTGTGGTTTAAATGGGCCTCTTGGATTTTTTCCCTGCAAAAATGGAAGGGAGAACTCCTGCACCACCAGGGCTGACACACGGTGACCTGAGACCAGCCAGCTGGGACAGACAGCGAAGAAGGGATACCCTCCCAAACTGGCTGTCGAAAAGGACATCCACATCCCTGGGGAGCAAAGTTCCCCCAGCACAAGCAGAGATCAGCTCCCCTAAAGCGATGCAGCACGGGTACATCCTGCAGCATGTGCTGTGGCCGCGTGGGGAGGGTCTGCTGTGCCCGTGCTGGGCACAAGCCTCGTGCAAGAAGCTGTACCTGCCACAGCACGAGAGTGACATGTGGCACTGGCCATGTGTCGATGGCTCTGCTGCCTGCACCAAGCCCCTGATTCAGCTTGTCTGGAGCTAAAATGTTGCAGTTGTCAGTCTCCCATCAGCTTGAAAGCTGCCACGTTTATTTTAATCACCCTCAGTTCTTAACACTGTCTCCTGCCCCCTGAAGCATCGCTCACTGAAGGTACAAACAAGGTCAGCAATACTCAGGTTTGCATCGCTAGCTGCTTGGAAACTCTGTTTTGTAGGAGTTTCCAAAAGGATGTGTACAGCATCAACTTCTTGTCCCGA